GCCTCCCAACACCACCCCACCCCCACGCCTTGGTTCTCTCCCAGGGTCTTGATATTTCTCTCTCTCCCTACCACCAAACAGGCCTTGATCTCTTTCCTCCCCAAAACCATACACATGCTCATGTGCAATTTAAAGCAGTTGGTGTCAGCAAATGTAGCAATGACCTAATTCAATCGTGGCACAGAGTCAACGGCCTATTCCTGTTTCCATGATATCTTCTGAAGTGCATCTCCTCATACTTCTCCACTTAAACTCCAACTGCCATACGTCTGTCCATTTCATTCTCTGCTGTACACTAAACACAACCATATCTACGATGTTGTCAAATTCTGCATCATCTCCAGTCTTTGTAATGTTTCTCCTTACGCCTGCATCATAAAATCAAGGAAGTGTTAAGGTCCAGTAGGCTGCCCTTCAACTCGTGTTTGGTCCTGCTCTCCAAATGAGCATGATGACTTAGTGCTGTTCTTCTACCTTTAGCCCATAATCCAGTTTATTGTTTCTATCAAACTAATCATCTGATGCCTTCAAATGCCTTGAATAAATCTGCTTCTACCACTTTTCCAGACAGTGGATTCCAGACCATAACTTGCTGCGGAATAAATTCCCTTTCAGCGCATCTGGGTATTTTGAAAACTACTTAAAATGTGACTTCTCGTTGTCAGTCCTCCTACCAAGAGAGAACAGTTCCTACTAACAAATCTAACCAGACCCCTTCATATTTTTGAAGACTTCTATCACATCACCTCTTAGTCTTCTCTCCATGCTAATGTGACAATGCTGTGGTTTTAAGAGGTTATTTAGTCTGGGTTTCTTTTAAGAGAGAGATTGCATAAGAGGTGCTGAGCTTGCTAGTGAAGACCACTTGATTGAACAGCTTGGGAGGCCTTGGATTTTTTTTTAAAAACAGCCTGAATGGGTGTGGCCAGCTCTCTCAGATCAGGTTTTTTGAGTTTTGCATTTTCAGTAGCTTTAGAAGCTATTGGGGTCTCAACAGAGTTGGAAGCTTCAGTAAATGTCTCCTGGCTGCTACTCTCTCTGAATTTTCTCGATGGCTTTTCCTCCTGGATTGGAGAAGTGCATGTGAGAATCTGTTTCTTTTCCTTTTTGCCAACAGGTGTGTTAATGGGATGTTACTATGTTGGAACAGTTAATTAGTAATAGTTATCGTATCTATTGCTCTGTTAAGTTTTCCAATGGAGTTAAATTATTTGAATTCCTTTTTCTTTGGTTGTATTTTAACTACAATGTTCAAATAAATTGGTGTTGCTTAATGTCGAGCAGCTTTACCAGTTGCATTGACTCTGGAACAAGGCACTTTATATTTGCCTTGAAAATGAGAAAAAGTTTGGGTCTAGTCTGCCTTCTTAAATTATCTTGAGGAGTGCCTGGTCTGGTCCATAACAGTAAGGAGTCTTAAATTTTCCAAAACAATTGACATAATTGAAATTGATATCCCTGGAATCACGTTATTACATATTCAACAAAATCTAATAAACTTGTGTTACAACTATGAGGGGAGGAATGAGCTGAGAATTAAGCACCACTACATCATCAGTTGCATCATTGTTGATTCAGTTATGGAATAAGAACATAAGAACTAGAAGCAGGAGGCGGCCATCTGGCCCCTCGAGCCTGCCCACCATTTAATAAGATCATGGCTGATCTTTTTGAGACTCAGCTCCACTTACCCGCCTGCTCACCATAACCCTTAATTCCTTTACTGTTCAAAAACATTCAGCGAGGTAGCTTCAACCACTTCACTGGGCAGGGAATTCCACAGATTCACAACCCTTTAGGTGAAGAAGTTCCTCCTGACCTCAGTCCTACAACTGCTTCCCTTTATTTTGAGGCAATGCCCTCTAGTCCTAGTTTCACCTGTTAGCGGAAACAACCTCCCTGCCTCCACCTTATCTATTCCCTTCATAATCTTATATGTTTCTATAAGATCTCCCCTCATTCTTCTGAATTCTAATGAGTATAATCCCAGTCTACTCAGTCTCTCCTCATAATCCAACCCTCTCAACTCTGGAATCAACTGAGTGAATCTCCTCTGCACTCCCTCCAGTGCTAGTATATCTCTTCTCAAGTAAGGAGACCAAAACTGCACACAGTACTCCAGGTGTGGCCTCACCAGGACCCTCTACAGCTGCAACATAGCCTCCCTGTTTTTAAACTCCATCCCTCTAGCAATGGCAGACAAAATTCTATTTGCATTTTTTAATTACCTGCTGCACCTGCAATCCTACTTTTAGCGATTCATGCACAAGGACACCCAAGTCCCTCTGCACAGCAGTGTCCTGCAATTTTTTACCATTTAAAACAGTCCATTTTGCTGTTATTCCTACCAAAATGGATGACCTCACACTTATCAACATTGTACTCCATCTGCCAGACCTTTGCCCACTCAGACAAATGCCAGGCAATTAGTAACAAAGGTGCTTCTATTTCTCTCAAAGCTAGGGTTTTCCCTCCCCAATAATTAAGGCAATAAACCATATCTTCCTATTTCCTTGGAAGCTTTGTTTCAGTTTTTTCCAAAATTTGTTGATTTCCAGTAAAAAAAACAGCAGACCACAGCATACTTAAAATGAATGGCTTCATTTCTAAATCACATGGGAAAACCCATTTCAATCCAGAGAATACCCAAATAGTTAAAAATAAAACTTGTAATTTTATTTAGATTGTCCTTAAATATAAATATGTATTCTCAACATTTGTCAAGCATGATTTCTCATTTTGTGTTGACTTTGACCTTACTATGAATTTCTGATGTATTGCTAAGATTCCCTTAAAAACAGATTCTAGCATTTCCCTGATAAAGTATATCTGTGAAGATGGGCAATGTCTCTGCCATCTTCTTGTTCCCCACAATAATTTCTCCCGTCTCAGCCTCTAAGGAATAGAACATAGAACATTACAGCGCAGTACAGGCCCTTCGGCCCTCGATATTGCGCCGACCTGTGAAACCAATCTGAAGCCCATCTAACCTACACTATTCCATTATCATCCATATGTTTATCCAATGACCATTTAAATGCCCTTAAAGTTGGCGAGTCTACTACTTTTGCAGGCAGAATAGACATTCTCATTAAAGGTAGTTGACCAAAAACACGTTTGTTGAGAGATAATCAAAGACATACAGAGTACTCCAGGATTTTTGTTTTTGTTTCAGAATACCAATTAAATAACATGTTGCCTTTGGGTTAAATATTAGACAGCGGGCAAGCTGCATTAGACATTATTCATTCAGAAATAGAAACAGAAAATTCTGGGGAAATAAACTCAATAGATTAGGCAGCATCTGTGTAGAAAGGGAAACAGGAGTTAACATTCCAGGTCTGTGACCTTCTATCCCTCTCTGCAACATTTGTTCTGATGAAGCAAACTACCACAAATAAGTGTTACTGGTATGCCTTCTTTTCTCCCCCCTCAACACCATGATGGCCAGGACTCTTGGTTTATCTGCCACGTATCCTGAATTTCTGCTCTCACCCTTTCTCTTCCCTCTCAGAGCCACAGTCTGGTTCCTCTTGTACCCTACCAGCTTTTGGAATCAACTTAAAAATTTCCATCATTTCTACCATTTCCAACATAATGCTACCAAGGACATTTTTCCCTCCCCTTTCAGCATTCCGAAGGGAGTGTTTCAACTATGATACAGTGGTCCACTTCTCCATCAGCTCGAACACTCCATCCTCTTCACATGGCACCTTTCCATACAAACACAGGAGATGCAACTTCTATCCTTTTACCTCCTCACCATCTAATGCCTCAAACACTCATTCCACATAAAATAGAGATTTTAAGTGGAATCCTCTCAATCTAGTCTACTGAATTCAATGCTCACAAAACGGCCTCCTCTGCAACAGAGATGAAATGCACTGTGGAACTTCTCTGATCTGTGCTATGATCACAGTTATTACTAAGCAAATCTGATCTTAAACTGCAACCTGGCTGAAAGACTTTTTTTGTTTTACTGAGACACAAACATGTAATACTGCAAATTTGGTTTTACCAATAGATTGCTATTGCACAAAAGAAACAATGATAAAATGTAGCAAAGCAAACCAACTATTTACAAATAACCGAGTTTAAAAGATCCCAGTAAAAATTTAATCCCAATCCCAACAGCATCCCATTCTACTACTCAAACACCAGAGAAAAATCCCTTCTCCATCCCATTTATGGTTTGACACTCGCTATGGCTTCAGATTCTGGTTCAGAGAATCTGATAGCCTCTTCCTTAATTTGTCATGTCCCTGAACTTAGACTTTCTCTGCTTCACATAATTATTTTAGAGTGTTAACCAAACACTTTTGGTCTAGGACTTTTAAACTTAACTGAGGTGAGCTCTTTCTTAAGAGCACTAAAATGACCTTCCTTTCTCAGATGCAATAGTTTTACACAAAGCTTCAGCCAAGGCTTCTGAAAACAGCTCAAAATGAAAGTACAAAGTTATTTTTATTTCTTAGCTATGGATCTTTTCCCAAATCAAAATAACAATTCCAGAACCTTCTGACAGTCTAGTGCTCTACACTGTTTACTTTGTTCACTCAGAAATACTCCCAATGTAAAAAGCCCCATTACATTCCAGAAGGTGTCTCTGTAATAGTGTTTTAGAAAAAAAAACCCATGGTTGCAGAAATGCTGCAAGTTAATAATTAAACCTCTTTAGCGTGGAGGAAACCCATATGCCATTACAACAAAATTCAAAGATTTAAAATAAATGATATTATAATATATATAAATCACACCTTACATTACATTACATTGGTCCTCAGTAATGAACTGTGGCCTGTCATCTTGGTTCTTGGTTTACTGCACCGTTCCAGTATGGACAGTGAAGAATGGAAAGTTATTGTCAATGTAGTTCATATAGAATATTCAATTAGATTGTGCCCAATCACTGTAGTGTAATCACAACAATTTACTTGCATTAGCTGGCAGGTGAAAATCAAAGCAATAACTAGCCATGGGCCAACAAATTGGATACTCACTTGCCTAAAGTATAACCGATGAACTTACTCCTGCTGGATTCCAAAAACGTTTCAATGTCTTTTTCTCTGTGGGGGAAAAAAATTATAATCATGAGGGCAAGAAAACACCAAAAATTTAAAAGTGATTTAGATTTCCACTTGAAACATTAGTTAGCAAAAATAAAAACTGTCATTGTTTCCTTTTTAGTAAGGATCCACAGTTTTATCATTATCATTTGGTCAATGTAATTTAAACTGCATGCATGCTGCTGCACAGCAACACAATTCAATTCAGTTCACATGATATCAAGAAACAGCAACGAAATACTACAAAAACTATGGGCTCTAACAATGTTTCAGGGATACTGACAAAGACTTGTACTCAAAAACTACCAGTGCTCTGAGACAAGTTGTTCCAATACAATTACTAAACTGGCATCAACCTATAATGTGAAAAACTGCTTTGGTATGTACAATCCACAAAAAGCAGGGAAAATCCAACATGGCCAAACATCGCCCAATTGGTATACTTTCGATCAATAGCAAAGTGGTGGAGGTATTACAGTCAATGCTATCAAATGGAAGTTATTCAACAATAACCTGTCCATTGACGTTACGATGAGTTCCAGCACAGCCATTAACTGTTGAACACATTACACCCTTTATCTAAACGTTGACAAGAAGGGCTGAACAGGGGAGTGGATCGGCAGTTCTGTGGTCGAAAACGAGACTCCCGAATGGTATGTTGCATCCCAGGTGCACGGGTCAGGGATGTCTCCGGTCGACTGCAGGACAATCTGAAGGGGGAGGGTGAACAGCCAACTGTCGTGGTGCATATAGGCACCAATGATATAGGTAATAAACGGGATGAGGTCCTACGAGCAGAATTTAGGGAGTTAGGAGCCAAGTTAAAATGTAGGACCTCAGAGGTGGTAATCTCAGGATTGAAACCAGTGCCACGTGCTAGTCAGAGTAGAAATGAAAGAATAGGCAGGATAAATGAGTGGCTTGAGAGATGGTGCAGGAGGGAGGGGTTCAGATTTTTGGGACATTGGGACCAGTTCTGGGGGAGGTGGGACTATTATAAATTGGACGGTCTACACCTGGGCAGGACTGGAACCAATGTCCTAGGGGGTGCTTTTGCTAACGCTGTTGGGGAGGGTTTAAACTAACGTGGCAGGGGGATGGGAACCAAATGAGGAGGTTAGTGGACAGTACAGAGGTAGTAACTGAAGCCTGTAAGGAACTAGATAATGAAGTCAGTGTGACTAAGAGGAAGAGTAGGCAGAGAGCAGATGATGAACGCAAAGGGACAGGTGGTCTGTGGTGCATCTGTTTTAGTGCGAGAAGTGTAGTAGGTAAGGCAGATGAACTTAGGGCTTGGATTAGTACCTGGGAGTATGATGTTATTGCTATTACTATTACTGAGACTTGGTTGAGGGAAGGGCAAGATTGGAAACTAAATATCCCAGGATATAGATGCTTCAGGCGGGATAGAGAGGGAGGGTAAAAGGGGTGGAGGAGTTGCATTACTGGTCAAAGAGGATATCACAGCTGTGCTGAAGGAGGGCACTATGGAGGACTCGAGCAGTGAGGCAATATGGGCAGAGCTCAGAAATAGGAAGGGTGCGGTAACAATGTTGTACTACAGGCCTCCCAACAGCGAGCGTGAGATAGAGGCACAAATATGTAGACAGATTGTGGAAAGATGTAGGAGCAACAGGGTGGTGGTGATGGAAGATTTTAATTTTCCCAACATTGACTGGGATTCACTTAGTGTTAAGGGTTTAGATGGAGCAGAATTTGTAAGGAGCATCCAGGAGGGTTTTCTAAAGCAGTATGTAAATAGTCCAACTCGGGAAGGGGCCATACTGGACTGGTGTTGGGGAATGAGCCCGGCCAAGTGGTTGAAGTTTCAGTAGGGGATTACTTTGGGAATAGTGATCACAATTCCGTAAGTTTTAGAATACTGATGGGCAAAGACGAGAGTGGTCCTAAAGGAAGAGTGCTGAATTGGGGGAAGGCCAACTATAGCAAAATTCGACAGGAGTTGGGGAACGTGGATTGGGAGCAGCTGTTTGAGGGTAAATCCACATTTGATATGTGGGAGGGCTTTTAAAGAGAGGTTGATTAGAGTGGAGGACAGACATGTCCCTGTGAAAATGAGGGATAGAAAAGGCAAGATTAGGGAACCATGGATGACAGGTGAAATTGTGAGACTAGCAAAGAGGAAAAAGGAAGCATACATAAGGTCTAGGCAACTGAAAACAGACGAAGCTTTGGAAGAATATTGGGAAAGTAGGACCAATCTGAAACGAGGAATTAAGAGGGCTAAAAGAGGTCATGAAATATCTTTAGCAAACAGGGTTAAGGAAAATCCCAAAGACTTTTATTCATACATAAGGAGCAAGAGGGTAACTAGAGAAAGGGTTGGCCCGCTCAAGGACAAAGGAGGGAAGTTATGCGAGGAGTCAGAGAAAATGAGTGAGATTCTTAATGAATACTTTGCGTCAGTATGCACTGAGGAGAGGAACATGACGGATGTTGAGGTTAGGGATAGATGTATGCTTACTCTGGGTCAAGTCAGCATAAGGAGGGGTGGAAGTGTTAGATATTCTAAAAGGCATTAGGGTGGACAAGTCCCCAGGTCTGGATGGGATCTATCCCAGCTTACTGAGGGAAGTGAGACAGGAAACAGCTGGGGCCTTAACAGATATCTTTGCAGCATCCTTGAGCACAGGTGAGGTACCGGAGGACTGGAGAATTGCTAATGTTGTCCCCTTGTTTAAGAAAGGCAGCAAGGATAATCCAGGTAATTATAGACCGGTGAGCCTGACGTCAGTGGTGGGGAAGCTGCTGGAGAAGATACTGAGGGATAGGATCTATTTACATTTGGAAGAAAATGGGCTTATTAGTGATAGGCAACATGGTTTTGCGCAGGGAAGGTCATGTCCTACCAACTTGATAGAATTCTTTGAGGAAGTGACAAAGTTGATGGATGAGGGAAGGGCTGTAGATGTCATATACATGGACTTCAGTAAGGCGTTTGATAAGGTTCCCCATGGTAGGCTGATGGAGAAAGTGAAGTCGCATGGGGTCCAGGGTGTACTAGCTAGATGGATAGAGAACTGGCTGGGCAACAGGAGACAGAGAGTTGTCGTGGAAGGGAGTTTCTCAAAATGGAGAACTGTGACCAGCGGTGTTCCACAGGGATCCGTGTTGGGACGGATTTGTGATATACATAAATGATCTGGAGGAAGGTATAGATGGTCTGATTAGGAAGTTTGCAGATGACACTAAGATTGGTGGAGTAGCAGATAATGAAGGGGACTGTCGGAGAATGCAGCAGAATATAGATAGATTGGAGAGTTGGGCGGAGAAATGGCAGATGGAGTTCAATCCAGGCAAATGCGAGGTGATGCATTTTGGAAGATCGAATTCAAAAGCAAACTACACGGTAAATGGAAAAGCCCTGGGGAAAACTGATGCACAGAGAGATCTGGATGTTCAGGTCCATTGCACCCTGAAGGTGGCAACGCAGGTGGATAGAGTGGTCAAGAAGGCATACAGCATGCTTTCATTCATTGGACGGAGTATTGAGTACATGAGTTGGCAGGTCATGTTACAGTTGTATAGGACTTTGGTTCGACCACATTTGGAATACTGCGTACAGTTCTGGTCACCACATTACCAAAAGGATGTGGATGCTTTGGACAGGGTGCAGAGGAGGTTCACCAGGATGTTGCCTGGTATGGAGGGTGCTAGCTATGAAGATAGGTTGAGTAGGTTAGGATTATTTACATTATAAAGACGGAGGTTGAGGGGGGACCTGATTGAGGTCTACAAAATCATGACAGGTATAGACAGGGTGGATAGCAAGAAGCTTTTTCCCCCCAGAGTGGGGGACTCAGTTCCTCGGGGTCACGATTTCAAGGTGAGAGGGGACAAGTTTAAGGGAGATATCCATGGAAAGTTCTTTACGCACACGGTGGTGGGTGCCTGGAACGCATTGCCAGCAGAGGTGGTAGAGGCAGGCACGATAGCGTCATTTAAGATGTACCTAGACAAATACATGAATGGGCAAGGAGCAGAGGGATACAGATCCTTGGAAAATAGGCGACAGGTTTAGATAGAGGACCTGGATCGGCACAGGCTTGGAGGGCCGAAGGGCCTGTTCCTGTGCTGTAATTTTCTTTTCTTTGTTCTTTGCTCCAGAGGTGAGATGAGAGTGGCTGCCCTTGACATCAAGACTGTATTTTAATGATGTAGCATCAAGAAGCCCTCGCAATACTGCAGTCAATGGGAATCAGTGAAAAAGCCCTCCACTAGCTGTAGTCATTCCTAACACATAGGAAGTTGGCTGTGGTTGTTGGAGGTCAATCGTCTCAGCCATAGGAGATAACTGTAGGAATTCTCCAGGGTGGTATTCTAGGCCGAACCGTTCTCAGCTGTTTAATCAATGGCCTCCATTTCATCATAAGATCAAGAGGGGTTGTTTGCTGATGATTGCACATGTTCAGCATCATTCGTGATACTGAAGCAGTGCATGTCCAAATGCAGCAAGATCTGCGCAACATTCAGGACTGGGATGATTAGTAGCAAGTCACATTTGACAACTTTAACAACAAAGAATCCAACCATTATCCCTTGGATTCAATGGCATTACTACAGCTGAATCCTCCATCCTGGACGTTAGTAGTGAACAGAAATTGAATTGGATGAACCATATAGGTATGCTGGCTGCAAAAGCAGGTCAGAGGCTACAAATTCTGAATCAGGCATCCTTTCTCCTGATTCCCTTAGAGCCTGTCCACCATCTACAAAGCACAAGTCAAGAATGCTTAGAATACACACCACTTTCCTCCACTACCACTCAGGACAAAGCAGCCTTCTTAACTGGCACCATCTAACACCCTCAATATGTATTCCCTCCACCACCAATACACATTGGCAGCACTGAGTTCCACCTACAAGAAACACGCAACAACTCATCAAGGCTCATTTGACAGTATTTCAGAAACCCATGACTTTTATTGTGGAGAAGGGCAAGGACAGCAGACACATGGAGCATCACCACCCGTAAGCTGCTCTCCATGCCACACGCCGTTGCAAATTGGAACTACACTAGCCATTCTTTCAATATCACTAGATCAGAATCCTGGAACTCTCCTCCCTAACAGCACTGCGGATATCCTTGGACCAAAATAGAATCTCTGCAGTGCAGATAGAGGACATTTGGCTCATCAAATCTGCAACGATCCTCCAAACAGCATTATCCCCTGACTCTGCATTTACCATAGGTAAACTACCTAGCCTGTAGATCCCTAGATACTACGGGGCAACTTAGCATGGCCACCTCCAAATCTTTGGACTTTGGGAGGAAACCAGAGTACCTGGCACAAATCCATACAGACAAAGGGAGAACATGTAAACTCCACAGAGTCACCCAAGGATGGAATTGAACTTGGGTCCCTGGCACAGTAAGGTAACAATCCATAACCAGTGAGCCACCATACCGCTGATGGATATGGAATGCAACAGTTCAGGAAAGCTGCATAACAATACCTTCTCAAGGGCAATGAAGGATGGGGAATAAATGCTCATCTCGCCAGCAACATCCACATCCCATGAATAATCTTTATTTTGAAAAGGTGCCATGCAGATTGCTCATAAATTGCACCCCTTACAGTATCACCTCTTTTAGGACACCTAAAGAGAAACATTGAAATACTGCAAACTGAACTAAAAGGTCACTTGTAAAGAAAGCAGAAAAATGAACAGAAGAGAAATTGCTGGATCCTAGATAACAAGGTGTAGAGGTGGATGAACAAAGCAGGCCAAGCAGCATCAGAGGAGCAGGAAGGCTGACGTTTCGGGCCTAGACCCTTCTTCAGAAATAGGGGAGGGGAAGGGGGTTCTGCAATAAATAGGGGGAGAGGGGGAGGCAGACAGAAGATGGATAGAGGAGAAGATAGGTGGAGAGGAGACAGACAGGTCAAAGAGGCGGGGATGGAGCCAGTAAAGGTGAGTGTAGGTGGGGAGTTAGGGAGGAGATAGGTCAGTCCAGGGAGGACGGACAGGTCAAGGGGGCGGGACGAGGTTAGTAGGTAGGAGATGGGGGTGGAGCTTGAGGTGGAGGAAGGACAGGTTAGGCAAGCGGGGACAAGCTGGGCTGGTTTTGGGATGCGGTAAGGGGAGGGGCGATTTTGAAGCTTGTGAAGTCCACATTGATACCAATGGGCTGCAGGGTTCCCAAGCGGAATATGAGGTGCTGTTCCTGCAAT